ACTGTTAAACCTCTGTATGACAGACTCAAAGGAAATCTCCTCCTTGGACTTCTGTTCATACATCCATTGTTAAACAAGTTAAAGCAGTTCATCAAACTTTGTCTTGCCTTGGTATTCCTTTGGTTGATTCTTTTAAAATCATCCAAACTGATGCCTCCGACATTGGCTACGGTGGTATCCTCCTTCAAAAGCTCAATCCAGACTCCCCAGAGCAAATTGTTCGTTTCCACTCTGGTATCTGGATTAATGCACAAAGGAATTATAGTACAATTAAAAAAGAGATTTTATCTATTGTCCTGTGTATCTCTAAATTCCAAGATGATATTCTAAATCAAAAAATTTTAGTACGAGTTAATTCCAAATCTGCAAAATATGTTTTGAAAAATGATGTACAATACATTGCTAGTAAGCAGATTTTTGCCAGATGACAGTCTATTTTGAGTATTTTTTATTTTGACATCGAATATATTAAAGGCAGTAACAACTGCATACCTAATTTCCTAACCCGTGAATTTTTGCAGGGACCTCATGGCGGACAGGAAAGTCAAAAAATCTAGTACCTTTTCCAAAGTCGGGAGAGATACTATTAAAAACAAACCCAATTAACCTTGCCAAGCCCAGTAGTTTTGTCAAACCCAATCTAAATTGCTAATCGTTATCAACCTCTTGGTAAACCAAACCCAGTAAGACCAGTGGTCCAGTCTACCTTGGTAGCCCCATCCACTTTTCTTCAAATGGCCCAAAAAGAACCAGCTAGTTCTTCAAGCCCACAATTAGTTGTCTCAAGTCAACTAGTCAATCCATACCCAGTTTCTAAATCCAAGCCAACTTTCATAGCCCACACAGGCCCAAAAGTTGATTATGTTAAAAAGGGTGAACCCATTACAGTGTTTGTCATTGAACCTATTCATGCTCATTTAAGCAACCCAAAAGATATAGTAAATATTTATCTAGAACCAGGATGGAACTTTATCCCATCTGATCCGGAGAAAATATTTACTTTTTATCAAGATATATTATTCTTTACCTAGTCTATTCATATCAAACCCATATTTGATAGGAATGACTCCAGTAAAATAATATATCATTCTTTATATATTTTAAAATTTATCTCTCTAAAAGAATGGGGATCTTACCCTTTTTTACTCAAAGACCTCGAGGGATATGAAAAGAAGTTTAATTACTAAGATTATATTGAATCATGGAATAATCTTCTCCTCTATCAGGATAAGTCATTAACCCATTCCTAGTTCATTCAATTTGATAAGAATTTCAAAAGCCAGATCCCTGCCTCGTTTGCACAGTGGTGGTTTCTTCATGGCCCCATACTTGAAATTCTAACATTGGACCTACAAGATCAGGTCACTTATTTTGCCTCTGTTTTTAAACCTAGTTATTATGACAGAACTCATTTCACGAGTCTGTTAATATTCTTTAGTAAATATAAGTTTTCCTGGATTTATAAATGGTCTTGGGAAATTAGTTCTAACTTTATCTGCAGGCAATCTAGTGTGAAATGGTGGCCAAGATTCCAACATGATCGCATTATTGCCCAAGTAAAACAGGAGTTTTCAGTAAAGATTCCAGCACCAGTTACAGTATCAACTGTTGCAGCAATCCCCCCAGCAGTAACTCCACTACCACCAAAGGCTATGCTAGCCCTCAGGATTTCCACTCTAGAGCAGCCTCAGGCATCTAAACAGCTTTCCGCAGTCAAACACAAGAAGAAAAGTCCTCCTCTAAGGACTCTACTCAGGTTTTAGGCTCCTCCAAGCAGTCTAAACCAAAATCTTTCGAGCTCATTGCCATTGCTAAGAAGCTTCTTCAACAAGCAGCTAGTAGTGGTTCTTCTTCACCAGCATCCTCCACCGGCTCAGTTAACCCTTATGCTAATATGGATCCAGATGTCCAAGATCCATATGCTGATGTTGATGACCTCACCCCTGACCTGGCTTCTCCATTATTCTTTTCCTTATGCGTGATAGCTTCAATCACTACTTTTTTTCTCAAAAAGAAAGAAAAGTTGTCTATTATGCATAATGTAAAGATATCAAATATTTCCTCGGTGCTTTCCATTAGTAAAAGCACCGACTATTTCCATCAAATCTGCTTTCTCCACTGAAAGTAGATTTCTTTTGTCCGGAGCAGGGACCCACATAGCACTCTGCACTGCATTTTAGACATCAGGACCCATCAAGTGTCCCCTTTAGTCAAAGGTTACCCAGAGTTAAAGTTATTCACCTTTACTTTTCCACCGAAAGTTGAAGTGAATAATCTTTACTTTTGGTTAAAGCAAAGAAAGAAATCATGGCAAGAGATTCCTGAAAAATTATCTCTAAGTCTATAAAATGGTTTCTCCTCTTCAGATGAAGGCAGAGGTTTTTAGAAACCCATATTACACTCCAGAGACACAATTCTCCTACCTTCACTGATAAACCTGTATTCTAAGATCTCTCATAATGATGCAAATGAAGAGACTCTCATCTGTTCTCTTTCACTACTAGCCCACTTAGTGCTAGTATTGTAAGTATTTTATTTCTGTAATTTATATTTATATTTTGTTAATTAAAACAAGATATTTTTACAAGACAAAACAATATTTTGTCACATTTATATTTCAATCTTGTGATTCTCCTAAACTCACATGTATTCCGCATTTGTTTTATTTTGGTATCAGGTATGGGGCCATGAAGAAACCACCACTGTGCAAACCAGGCAGTGATCTGGCTTTTGAAATTCATATCAAATTGAATGAACCTGGAATGAGTTAATGACTCATCCTGATAGAGTAGAAGTTTATTCCATGATTCAATATAATCATAGTAATTAAACTTCTTTTCATATCCTTTGAGATCTTTGAGTAAAAAGGGGTAAGATCCCCATTCTTTGAGAGAGATGAATTTTAAAATATATAAGGAATGATATATTTTTTTACTGGAGTCATTCCTATCAAATATGAGTTTGATATGAATAGACTGGGTAAAGAATAATATATCCTGATAAAAAGTAAATGTTTTCTCTGTATCAGATGGGATAAAGTTCCATCCTGATTCCAGATAAATATTTACTATATCTTTGGGGTTGTTTAAATGAGCATGAATAGGTTCAATGACAAACACTGTAATGGGTTCACCATTTTTAACATAATCAACTTTTGGGCCTGTGTGGGCTATGAAAGTTGGCTTGGATTTAGAAACTGAGTATAGATTGACTAGTTGACTTGGGGTAACTAATTGTGGGCTTGAAGAACTAGCTGGTTCTTTTTGGGCCATTTGAAGAAAAGTGGATGAGACTACCAAGGTAGACTGGACCACTGGTCTTATTGGGTTAGGTTTACCAAGAGGTTGGTAACGATTATCAATTTGGATTGGGCTTGACATGACTACTGTGCTTGACAAGGTTAATTGAGTTTTGTTTTTAATATATTACACTCCAGAGACACAATTCTCCTACCTTCACTGATAAACCTGTATTCTGAGATCTCTCATAATGATGCAAATGAAGAGACTCACATCTGTTCTCTTTCACTACTAGCCCACTTAATGCTAGTATTGTAAGTATTTTATTTCTGTAATTTGTATATATATTTTGTTAATTAAAACAAGATATTTTTACAAGATAAAACAATATTATATATATATATATATATATATATATCATAAAGACACAAACCCCACCCACCCATCTATCCACTTATTAATACATATACATAATATCACAAATCCCACCTATCCACACACTCTTTTCTTTATTAAAAAAAATACTTTACTTCTTCTCCTTTGTTTTTTTTTTTTTTTGATTTATATGTCATATAATGAGGTTTTATCTTTCATGCAAATTCATTTGTGAGGTTTTATTAATTTTTTTTCATAAAAGCATAAAAATTAATTGTTATGGACGAGAACGGAGATCAAAATTTTCCAACGGGTCGGGGATGAGAAATAAATTCTCTCCCCCCCCCTAAAAATAGGGATGAACGAATATTTTTTAAACTAATACGGGATAGAGACTACTCCCGTGACCCCCACTCTAGTCCATTCTCATCCTTTGCCCCTAAAATCCAAAAAAAAATGAAGGGTGGATTGGCTAGAAAGCCGGCTCGTAGCGACCCAAAGCCCACCCACTACAACCAGTCCACGAGCTAGCCATACTGTATTTTTTTCTTTTTTTGAACGCCTAGCCCTCCAGTTCAAAGCCATGTATGTGTGAATTAATTGGCTTACGCTTGAACCATGCCATGGGTAAATAACTATTTCATAAGTTATATATATGATCTTTCATTCATAAATTTATTGCCCACCCGTTTTGTGCCATGGCCTATCCCATTTCCCCATGGGAGGGTCCGGATTAAGTGTCAGGCTCTAGTAGGGCCTGACTATTCCATGGGATGGGGCTTAGCCAAGATCAAGCCTGCCTGTATCAGAAAAATTTTCGAGTAGGAGTACTGGACGGTCCTAACTAAATGGTTGCTTGTTTACATCTTTCTATTATTAGTCCTTGGGAAAAATTATGTTTGGACACTTTTAATCATATTTTGTCCCTCAACTGATGAGTTTCTCACATTATCTCCTCAACTAATTGATTAGTTTTGCATTGCCCCAAACCAAGCAACCGTCTTGTTTGAACGAAAAATTAACAAAATGTATAACAAAATACATGATTCCAATGTCTACAACTTGGATAAAATGAAACTCATAACCGTTACAATATATGCAATATGAAAAACGTGACAATGGATGGAAAAAAGTAAAATTAATAATACTTCTTTGGGATTATGGCTTTTGTTAGAGAGAAAATTACTCCAGGTTGCAGTCCCATGTATAGAACAAAGTAAATGTCTTGTCATAAGCTCACTTTATAAAAATTAAACCTTGCTTCATGTGAAATGTTTTGCAAGTTTTTTTCATTAGTTTTGCACTTTAAATTTGTACGTGAAATATTTTTTGAGGGTCTCTTATATACTTCTTTGCCACCATTTGTCTATTTGAAAGGGAAACCAAATGTCTCAGCTGTCTATTTGCATCAACAGAAGGCTTGATTCTTTATCACCGATATCATTTGGGCCTTTTATCTTCAAAATTAATGAACAATTACGCAGGCAAAATAAGAAAGCCTATGAACCAGAAATACTCAGTGTTGGTCCTTATCACCACGAAAAAGTTAACCTCCAAATGATGAAAGAGTACAAACTATGGTACCTGCATGATCTACTTAAACGAAGAAATGAGAGTGTGGATGAATACGTGGAAGCCTTGACAAACTTGGAGAAGGAAGCACAAAAATGTTATGTAGAACCCATTAAACTGAAGAAGGATAAGTTTGTGGAAATGATGCTACTGGATGGGTGTTTTATCATCGAGTTATTTCATAAGTTCAACAATCCAACCTTAAGATATGCACACGACCCCATTTTCCAAATTCTTAAGATTCGGAAAAGTATTCGACGTGACTTACTGTTACTTGAGAACCAAATTCTATTCTCTGTCCTCATCAAATTATTTGGTATGTCCGAAAATTCCATTCTCTTAGTTCCCTTGGCCCTCAACTTTTTTCATGCAACCATTTCATATTTTCCGCGTTCACAAACTTCCAACAATCAACCAACCACAATTCCAAAATATAACGACCATCATCTTCTAGGCCTAGTACATGATGCCTGGTATTCTTCTATTGTTGAAAAGGGCCCCTCTCCTCGGACTGATACAAACCACGGATTCACAAAATGTGTTGTAGAGGTCCTAAAATCCGCGATTGAATTCAGTAAGTGTAAAAACAGTTCCTCATCGCACGATATTGATCTTGAAAACGAGTCTTCTCATGGGATTGATACAAACCATGAATTCATAAAAAGTGTTACAGAGCTTCGAGAATGCGGGATTAAATTCAAGAAGACTAAATGTTCCTCATTGCTCGATGTTAAGTTTGAAAATGGTATCATACAAATCCCTACTCTTCCAGTTGATGATAATATAGAGTCGCTATTCAGAAATCTGATTGCTTACAAGCAATACAGTGGAGGAACTGGGAAAACTTATATGACCGACTATACGACTTTTATGGATTGCCTCATCAATTCCCCTAAGGATGTCGAAATACTTCGCCACTCTGGAATTATTGATAATTGGTTAGGTGATGATAAAGTTGTTTCTACCATATTTAACAAAATGTGCAATCAGGTCGTGCTCAATGTAGATTCTAAAACGTTCTATTATGAGAAAGTGTTCAAGGAAGCTAACGAGTAGTGCAAACATCGTCGTCATGGATGGATGGCCTTTTTAAGGTATAATTATTGCAACAGCTCGTGGTCTATTCTTTCAGTTATTGTGGCTAGTGTGTTTCTGCTACTCAATGTGATACAAATAGGATGTTCTATCTTACAAGTCTAGTTTTAAGTCATGTTTCGAAGTTCTTAGTTAGAAATTCTAGTCAATTTGAATGTTTCTTAAAGCACTGCAGTGAAGTTTGGTTTATATGGAGATGTAAACTATTAACTTATATATGGAATTCTGTTGAGTATGTTATTTAACAGCTAGCCAAATAGAAGTTCGGCTACTTTTGTTAATGACTTGCAACTGTTTAGCTGTGCAGCTTGTGCTATGAGGAAAATCTCATTTTTCTTAGGATTCCATATAAACCAATATGCAATTCAATATCCATAAACAATACAAATTCAATATCCATAAACAATATGCAATTTTCTTCGAACAAAAATTAAATCCATATCAACTGATTCGTTGTTTGTCGCATTCTTTTAAATTTTGAAATCACTAAAATCCTAAAAAAAAAATTGAATAAATAATCTCTCGATAACAAATGAAATTACAATCGATCAAAAATCATGGATTCTCTGATTAACTTGATTAGCCTTCCTTTGATTTGCATCAGTTTGTTTAGGTTCGGCAGGCCTCCTAGCGTTGGTCGACAATAATGGGTCATCGCAAATATTATTCTTTAACCATGATAGATCTCGATGCTCTTAAATGTTTTGTCAATTTTGATCAATTTCAATAATGCTCTTTCAACTTCATTGGGCCTAAATAATAGTCCCTAGTCCACCCACTGGTACCTAATACCTGATAGGATCTAATGAATTAACTTGGATGGTTACACATGACTGGAATTGGAAAAAAATTATGAGTAAGAGAAGGATGTATGACTTATGCTTAGAACGAAGCTATCAGACGGTTAGCCCCTGTTGTCATTACTGTCTCTTGAGCTGCGTGTTTACAGTTCCTTCGGGGAACGTCCGAACAGTTACTTCCCATTAATGCTCAGTGCCAAGCATTAACAAAACGCTCTTCTCTTGCGTCTTTTCAAGGCATGATTGGGCCCGATTATTGAATGGACAGCTTCATCGAGATACCGTATAATTCGTCTCATTATCCAAGTTTGACGCTTTTAGGCATGTTCTCTAGCATGCTTCTTTGTGTCAAAAGGACGTGCAACTGTTATTTTTTCGAATATCTACTTCTTTATATCTTTTTAATTATGTCACATTGCGTCCCCGAGCCCAGCTGTCGTATGCCATCAATGCTCGACCCTTGGGTATCTACCTTCCATTTCTGCTTTCCTCCATGTGTCTGCTTCCTACGATTCTCTCTGACCACGTATGCACTTAATTATTGCAATGATTTATCATTTCATATTTAAAAAAGTCCATATGGTAGAAATAATTATTAATTAATATGCACACCAAGTTGTGATTTGGGTGGAGTTGATTGAGATTGATCAATTTTTTAAAAAAAATTTAATGGTCATATTTTATTCTTTTTTTAAATTTGGATTTCTCCATTGGAAGGTCTATACCGAATTAAATTTTTATCTTTTTCTTTTCTCAAATTTGTGTAAAAGTTTGAGTTTTTTATTAGAAATAGTCTTGTAAGAAGTCTATTAAGATAAAAATTTAATTGAAGAGTTGATCTATAATTCAAGTATAGGTTAAGAGCCAAATAGATAATTGGGCAAATAGGCAACTATGTTGACCGCCTCAATTTTTCCATGTCTCGTATTTATCCCCTCAACTATCACATATCTCACATTCACCTTCCAATAATGGTTATTGGTATCACATTGCTTCCTCAATGATTGCATTTCTCACATTCACCTTCCAATAATAGTTGTACCCCATCTATGGTTATTGGATTCCAATTATCCCAATTCGCAGACATTGGAAACTTGTATTTTAAATTATATATAACAATAATTCGTGCCTAAATGCACTGTACAATTCAAAAAATCGAACATTGATAATGGACATAAAAAGTCAAATACTGAACACGGTCACGCATTAAGCTTAAAACCTAAACTACATCTTTAACACTTGCACTCTATATACATGCTAAATAAAGAATTGCCTATTTGAACATTCTCGTGAAGATAAATTTCAATGAAAAAAAAAACAACTTTAATAATCAAAAATCAATAAAGTTAAACCCATAAAATTCATATACTTGAAATTATATACCTAATTTACATCCCAAAAAAAAAAAAGAATTATATACCTAATTAAAACTTTCAGTAACGTCCAAAAGATTTAATCAAAAATTAACTTAGAGGATTTAATCAAAACCTATATCATTAGAAGAAATGTCCGTGCCTTAAGGCATTATATTATACTAAACAAAAATTTGCCAAAATTTAATGTGAGGAAATTTTGGGTGGGGCTATTCCCACTAGGGGTGTTCAAATTTTTTACTGTCCGCAATTTTCTACCCTATCTGACCTTACCCTACCCTACCCTACCGAAGGGTTAGCCTTAAAAATCAGGTAAGAATGCAGAATAGCTATCAATTTTTACATTCCTACCCTACCCACATTAATTAATTAATTAATTTACATATATATATATATATATATATATATATATATATATATAATAAAAGTGAATGCGGAATACATGTGTAGTTAGGAGAATCACAAGATGTTAATATAAATGTGACAAAATAATGTTTTGTCTTATAAAAATTTCTTGTTTAAATTAACAAAATATGAATACAAATTACAGAAATAAAATATTTACAATACTAGCACTAAGTGGGCTAGTAGTGAAAGAGGATAGGGGAGAAACTCTTTATTTGTATTATGATGAAGACTTCTTACAAAATATGGAATAGTGAGTTGTGTATAGGGAAGGCTTATGAAAGCTCTCAAGTTACAACTCTAGGAAGGTTTTTCTGCTGGAAAAAACTCTTGCTTTGAATGAGAAGACTAAAGTCCTTATATAGAGGTAGGGAGCTTCTTGGAGGAATCTTTTTGAATAATTGCTCCATTGTCTTCTTTTCTGCTTTAACTTTGGGTAAAGTATTTCACTTTATCCTTTTGGTGACAAAGTGGAAGTGAATTGCTTTCACCTGGGTAAAAGTAGACCTTAGTGGCAGGACTGCTGACTTGTGGGTCCTGATGTTGTCTGGAGGAATCTACTTTCGGTGGAAAGCAGATACTGAAAGAGACTGACGGCTACTTTTAGTGAAAGGGTCGTTGAACCAAAATGATTTATTATCAATATATGTAACAGATAGCTTTTTTTTTTTCTCTTATTGGAGAGAGAGAGTAGTGAATGAAGCTATCACATATATGGACAAGTATCATCATGGGGTAGAAATATCTACCAAATCGTCAAAACCTGCATAGGGATCCTGACTATCTTGAAAAGGAACCAATGCTGGAGAGACTGATGCTTGTGAGGATGCTGATGAGCTGTCTCCACTAGCGGCTTGCTGAAGAAGTTGGTGAGCTAACTTGATAAGTTCTGCAGACTGCTTCTTTGACTGTTTACTGGAGTCTTTAGAGGAGGATTTCTTCTGTTTTGGTTTTTCCTTCATGGATTTCTTTTTCTCTTCTGGAGTAGAAACCCTGAGAGGATGCATGACTTGCTTAACTGGAGTTGTTATTGTGGAGGTTACCGGTACCACTGCTGGGGTTGGAACCTTAACTGGGAACTCCTGTTGGACAAGTTTGATTATTGGTTCTTGTTGGATCCTGGACCACCACTTGACATAAAACTGTCTGGCGACATTGAAACCAATAATTTCCCATTTTCATTTGCATATCCATGGGACTTTGTACCTGCAAATAAAAGTTAGTAGAATAGGAAACTGACTCTCGTGTTTACTAGGTCGGTAAACAAAGGAGAAAGTTATAATTTGATCTTGGAGATCAACTAGAAAGATTTCATGAATGGAGCCGTGAATAAACCACCACTGTGTAAACTAGGATGGAATCTGACTTTTGAAATCTTTTGTGGAATTGTAGGAACCATGAATGATCAGAAGAATCATTCTGGTAGAGTATAAGCTTAAACCATGATTCTTTGTAATCATAGTAATTAAACTTTCTTTTATGGTAAGGTAAATCTTGGAGTAAAAAAGGGTGAGATCCCCATTCTTTGAGAGAAATAATTTTTAAAATATGTAAGGAATGATAAATTATTCTACTCGAATCCTTTTATCAAATATAGGTTTGACAAATATGGACTGAGTATAGAATAATATATCCTGATAAAATTGGAAGGTCTTTTCAGGATCATTTGGAATAAATGTCCATCCTGGCTCAAGGTAGGCTTTGACTAAATCCATTGGATTGCTTAAATGAGCATGGACCGGTTCGATGACACATACATTTTGGGTATAAGCCTTGATATAGTCAAAGTTTGGGCTCTTTGGGACAAACTGGGTTTTCTGGTAAGAATATGGGTTTACCATTTGGCTAGAGGTGCCAGGTTGGGTTGGTGCAACAGGTCTAGGGGCCTATTGGGCCATTTGAAGGAAAGTGCTAAGAGGCACTATAGTGGATTGGGCTACTGACCTTGTTGGGTTAGGATTACCAAGTGGTTGAAACCTATTGGCAATCTAAATGGCAGAGGATAAATAGATTGGGCTTGGCAAGGCTAACTGTTTATCCTTTTCTAGGTTTGCCTTTTCTTGGGCAAATATCTGACTAATTTTTTTCTTTCCTGTATCCCTCCCGGCTTTGGAAGAAGATCCAGGGCTATGGCTTTTTCTGTCAGCCATGAGAGTCCTGCAGAAATTCAAGGGTTAGAAAATCAGGAATGCAGTTATGACTGCCCTTAATATATTTTATATCAAAATCGAAAATACTTAAAATAGATTGTCATCTGGCAAAAATTTGCTTACTAGCAATGTTTTGTACATCCTTTTCGAGAACATACTTTGCTGATTTACAATCGATTCGTATTAAAAAATTTTGATTTAATATATCATCTTGGAATTTTGAGATACACAAG